CGCGGGAGGGCAGAAAAGAATATGCGGAGACATTTCAACATTCAGCGATTTTTAATTGAGAAATAAAAGACGAAATTCCGTGTTTGATACTCTGATCAAAACACGTGGGATGTAGGGAGAGCACGAGAAAGCGTAGGAAACCACGACGCGTAGCGGGTAAACGAACACGAATTCAGGCTAAAAGTGCCTGATAAAATATGTTAACATAATCTGTAAAGGTATGCCATCGTGCTATCATTATCATTTAGTTTTCAAGACCTTATCCGATTTTATATGTATACGAATATATCTGTACTTGAAGGGCTTCCTGTGCGGGCTAATCGAACGCGTTGGGAATAAACTTGATATCAATTGTAGCGTGACGGAAGTAAGATTTCATGACGAATGTCAGATCTCTGAATTTTCGGCGGGAAAAAGGTGGGCGGGAAACTTGAGAGTTTGGGCGAGCGAGCGCGCGCTTCTTTTCACTCTGATTGTCGTAAGATTGATACCAGGTAAGAACTAGTTATGTGTTTTAAAAAAATATCAAAGTCAAATCAACAACTTGTTGGGTTTTTAAACTGAATTGATTTTGTACATGGTTCAGTGAACACGGTAAAAGGCAAAAGATAGGCTTATTATTTTCTCTTAATACGTTCAGTTAATAATTTTAACAAGGTTTTTATTTAAAAATCAGTGTACTACCGCATATTCAAAATATAAGTAACCACTTGTTTAATACAAGAAAGTCTTGAAAACGTCGAGCTCAAAATAAGCTGCTTATTAGTTTCCTTGTGTTCATTAGTCCGGCCACTTTGTAAGCTTATGAGTAAGCTTAAATCAGTATCTCATGTGTTTCTGTTTCAAAAAATGTATTATTTTAATTTAATTTTATTCTTTTTATAGATGAACAAAGAATTTGTTTAAAAAGTTGTAAGTTGAGAACAGTCATAACTTATTAAGTCATATTTATTACAAGTTAACAGTTAAGCTTATTTTTCATTTGGGAAACAAAGTTTTAAAATAAACTTAATCTTATACATATTATCTTTTCTCGTTCTTTAGGGCAACATGAGTTTATCTGGTAAGAACAAATTTTACAGCAAAAAGCAAATTACTGTAACAAACTTTTTAATCAGTTTTTATTCATTTTTGTTTCTTACTTATCAATAGATTGCATTACAACAATCATATACGTACCATTTATATTTATTTATTTATTTTCCATTTCTTATTTCAGATGGTAGAGCCCAGTGGACTGGTAAGATATAGTTTCGCAGCATTAGTATCAGTAGGCTGATGTGATGTAATCATTTTCTTAAACTTAAATTCCTTGCTGTTATTTGCAATCAAAATTGCATTTTAGCTTAACTGTATACAATTTGCATGTAGGAGAAATGAAGGAGGCAACAGCTGGGGGAATTAATGGTGAGAAGTCTTATTATATTTTTTTCTTTAAGGCTTTTAAGTATACAGAGTCAGTTTATACATGCATGCAGTTCTCCAAACAATTATTAAATTAGTTTCTTTTATTCTCAGCATTATCAGTAGGTATTATGTGATGTAGTCATTTTAAATGCCTTGCTGTTATTGCTATCAAATTTGTATTTGTAATATTAGCTATATATATCAACTGTATACAATTTTCATGTAGCTGAAGTGAAGGAGGAAGACAAAATGAGTACAAATAGTAAGTATATACTTTATAGAGACTAAATTATATATTTTTTCCTATAGGGCTTTAGTAGAGTTTATACATACATGAAGTTCTCCAAACATATAATTTATACTACTTTATAATAAGTAAATATAGTTTTTCACTTTTTAAGAAATCAATGAACTTAAAGGATATATCATTTATTAAATTTTGTTATATATACTTTTTGGGATATTCCTTGATGAAGATAATAAAGTTAGATTATCAAATGCAGCAGCTTTACTGCTGTGTAAGTTTGATCTTAATATTTATGAGCTTTTGCTGTACTACAGCATCGTCAGAGATAGATCGGTGAATGAGTACAAAACGAACAATATGGTAATAAGGAATCATAATATAACATAATTTGTCTTTTATATAGGGTCAATTCTGACAGAACAAAATAAAAATATATGTATATAATATATATACAGCTGTTTGCAATAATTCTGACCCCCCTACACTAATATTCAAATATATCAAAGTAGCCTTAGAAATTATGGGATACCATAACTGATATTTTTTTAGAAAGTACTCATTCTGGGCAACTCAAAAAATATATCAGTCATGATATCCCATAATATTTAAGGTCAGTTTGATATATATGAAATATGGCAGAGGGGGTCAGAATTATTGCAAACAGCTGTATTTTACATATTGTATAATATAATGACTGTTTTTATTTCAGTTTTAGATGATGAGGAAGAAGACATGAGTGATCATGAATCAGAAGGTAAGTGAATCGGAATAGTTTACATAATTATACTGACGGTTGACAGCACAGTATATCTAACTTTTGATAATTTGCAAGATATTAATACTATATATTAATACTATTTATACAATTATAGTGTTCATAATGTATGTATATTGAATAATTAATGTATATTGAATATTTAATTTGGAGTTATGAAATAAACAGACTCGGGTGTATAAATATTCTTTTATCCCAATTTCAGGTCAAAAAGTTTTTAAAACTTGTAAGTATCAATCATTATATAGATACACAATATTGTACTCATTATATGTTTTGTTTGTCCAAAAGACTAATGTATGATAAACTAATAAGTGTTAAAACTAGAAAGTGTTAAGTATAACATTATAGCTCCCTACTGAAATGTTACTTTTATACGCATTGACTGCAGTTCTCAAAATTCCAGTTACAAACTGGAATTTAGCGTTGTTTCAAATCTAGAATAGAAATCATTATAGATTCGCCAATGAAATTTTACATGAATGCGAGACCAAAGGCTTATAAAGCCAACCTGCACTTGAATTTTAAGACTATACATCCATTGCACTTGACAGTTACTCAGTTCTTCATATATTATAATGCTCATATTATTCCCTTTCCTAACAAATAAATACTATCAGTTGGTGTTTTTTCAATAATACTGAAATGATATATTATAATAGGTGTTGTTGGTTGACATATTCCAATCATACATGTACATGTAATGATAAATGGGTAGTTCCAGAAAATATCCGTACCATACGACAGGTGGCATCGATTTTCGACCCCCCATCTCCTTGGGAAATTCCGAAATTGGGTATCCCCCCTCCCCTTAGGAATTCCAAAATCGTGTTTTGCCCCCCCTAGATAGGAAATTAATTTCCATTATTATTATTATTTTCATTATGATAATAAATACATAACTTAAGTACATCCTAATCTTTAAATTATTGTTTGCAGTAAAATGCTATCGATGCAAGGGAAAGGGGCATGGGATTGCCCAATGCCCATCCCCTGAAGACTTTGGTTAGTACCAACAATATTTAAATTTATAATTGCCTTTGGATATACACCTTTTGTCTAATAGCAAAACAAAGTACATTGTGCTCTAGCTTCAGTACAAAGAATGCCATAGTTATGGCCTAAGCAATCAAAAAATGCTTTCATTGAAACCACAAAGTGATAGATTTGCTATTTCAGAAAAGGTAATAAACAGTGTTTTGATGCAATATATATAATTAACCAAAAACTTTACTTCTGATATTGACTAATTATATTTACTATATAATTTTTTAATGATTATCAACAGACAAGAAGATTAAGTGCCACGCCTGTAAGGGGAGGGGGCATAGGAAGATCCTATGCCCCATAATAAAGCGGCAGGCTGTCAGAGCTGAAAAGTGTGGTATGTTGAACTTAATACATTAAATACTCAGTGCGCTTTCCATTTGTCAGAACTGGCTGGCCAGACCCAAAAGAAATGTCATTGTCAAATTTTATCCATTATTCTATAGAAAACTTTGAAATGACTGAAATATGTGGACAAAAAGCGTAATACTGATATCTCTAAATAGAGCGGGCTGGCTGGCCAGTGCCTAAATGGAAAGCACCCTCAGTTTCTAATGTGTAATTAGATAATTAGGGTCCTACTTTATGGATAATTAACCCCCTTCCCCTCCCCTGCTTAGGGAAGAAATTTAGGTATTAGTGGTATTTTAAGAATTTCCCGACAAGAATCCATTGAGTACCCTGGTTCCAGAGACTTGTCTTTAATTCTTTTGCTTATTATGTTATCGAGGCACAAAGAGGCAAGATGTTTCTGTTAATCGGTTGTTTTTTAAAAACAACAACAAACCGATTAACTGATACGCCTCACTGCTTCGCGGCTCTTGAACATAGTAAGCACTAGAAGAATAAAAGACAAGCCTCTGGAACCAGGGTATCCATTGAGAAGAGAACACTAGAATTTTGTAGATAGAGATTCTTCAGAGTATAATTATTAATCTGTGATTTCTCTGATATGATAAAAAAAGTGTCAGTGTGAACAATAATTTAAAACAAGTAAAAGGGTTGACATAATGCATGTGATTTGGGATCAATTTTGTGTAAAACAGTCAAGATACTAGTAGAGTATAACAACATTAAATGTGTGCAACACTTTCCACTATTACTACAAAATAGTGTTCATTAAACAATAGAATTTGCATAATTTAGCAGTTTTAGTGGTATTTGGGTTGCACAGCTTTTAAGTGTTTGTATATAATCTATATGTCCCTAATATATATTTTTTTCTTTTTTTCTTGTAGCTCAAATTGTAAGACAGATGGAACGAGGGTCGGTTTTGATAATGAAATTGTAAACATTACATGTTTTTATCTAAAATATGATATCAATGTGATTCCCTCACTTTGATTAAAAAAAGTAATACTACAAAAGTTTTTCTGCAACGTACATGTGCATGTTTACAATTTCATTATCACCAGGGCCTATAAGGGACTTGAAACGACTGTAACCCCATGCCAACCGCTCGAATATTCAAATCTAATTTAATGCATCGTCATTTCCTTTTTTGACCTTGACCAAATTTTGAAAATGGTCATAACGTTTGTTTTTGAATAACTTTACGGGCGTTACACATTTCAAGTCCCTTATAGGTTTCTGTTATCACATATTTATTGTATTCTTAACTATTATTGGCATTATCAACTATTTTTTATCACTTAACATGTATTTTATCAAATATTTCTTATATTTCTTATTTATCTATATTTATAATTATTTATAACTTTTTAAAATGTACTCTTTGAAATTATTAAAACATATTCAATTCTTCCTGTATCTGTATTCTACATATATTTACGAAGTGCTACTTGCAATTTTCGTCCAAGTATAGCCCTTTAATGGTCGATCTGAATTGGTCAATCTGTCGACACAAAAATAATATAAAGGTCTAGAAAATTAAAGAAGTGCACAGGGCACGTTCTGTTGTTAACACTGCATGAAAAATTGGATTTACAAGAGTAGAAAACACTTTGCAAATGCTAAGTGAATACCAAATTTGTCCGTGTTTGATCATTTTTGCACCGTGCAAATCTGGAAATTTTCACACCTTTTTATATGGGGCAAAGATGGTGAAGACCTTTTTCGCTAAAGCATTTACCAAGTTATCAAATATACAGCAAACACATATATTTGCTCTCTGTTTGACACCATGCAAATCTAACGGCAAAGTTATTATATGCTCATTTTTATGTAAATTGTCACCTTTGCACTTATGGTAAATGGGCACAAAATGGATGCAAAATGGATGGTTTTTGTATATCTTTGCTCGCCAGT